TATTTAAATATAATTACTTTTGATCAAGCAGTTCCACTTCTAAGATATTATCCCAGGGCAAAACTTATGTATTTCTATAAAGATACATCTAGGAGAATGTATAGAAATGCAGAGAAGAAACTAAGGTCCCTGAATGATTATGTGGAGCAGAGCCACCTGCTAACCTGACAGCTTGCCTTAGAATCATTATTCAAGGCTGAGACATTCTTCTCTACCCTATAGGTTATCATACTTCAGGGCCTCTATGTCATAGCAACTTAGATTTTATCTTAACTAATGCAGAAAGGTTGTAGAATACTTTAAGAGAAATACTTACGGAGAAAATTTGGTAGTACACATAAAAGCAAATACAACATGACCAAATGAATTTTATTCCAGGACCACAGGGTTTATTTCTAAATATGGAAAATTATTATTATATTAAATGATATAATTTACATAATTCTTCAATAGATACCCAAAGCAAGTTGATAAAATTCAATATAAATCTTGAAACTTTAAAGACAAAAATATTTCCTTAAAATAATAAAAATATAAAATACTATACTATATATATAAAATATATAGTATATATAAATATATATAAAATATGTTATATGAAATAATATATTTTTATATTTTATATATTTTATCTTTTATTACATATATCTTTTTCTATTTAGTAATATTAAATAATAGTAAATTAAAATAGCACATCTATTTAAGAATCAGACACAACATGATCCTTCAAAGAAAAACACAAAAACAATTCAATTAAAAACAGAAACAAGGCAAGTGTTCTCCTTATCACCATTATGATATTAGAGAATGTTGCCAAAGTAGAAAACATAGACAGATACACAAGAGAAGTACACACACACATGCACAAATACACAACCAAGACAAACAGTGAATTCAATAAAATAAAAATAACAGATTGTGAATGTGAAAAAGGCATTGTGCAAGGTGGTCAAGAGCCTTTGGATTTGGTCACATCTGGGTTCCAATCCTGGCTTCAGATATTAATAACCATGTGAACTTAACCTCCCCAGGCTTCAATTTCCTCATCTGTAAAATGGGTATAGTAAGGCCTACCTCCTAGGTTTGCTATGAGCATTAAGTGAAATATTATCAAATGCTTACTCCAGTACCTGGGATGCAGTAATCACTGTAGTTATAGCAGTTATGCTAGTTAGTCACTGTAGTAATCCCTGTACCATTTCTTAATATACAAGAAACATGTATAATACCAAGTAGCATTCATCTATGCCACTGATTGTCATCTAGGAAAATCTAATGAAAAGAGTCTTCTTTATAAATAGGTAAGAATATATAGAATGTGCCCCAATAAGAGATATGGAGACCTGTACAAAGAACTTCAAATCTTTTAGAGGAAAAAGAGAGGAAAACCCAAATAATAGAGGGACAAACCCTGTGTCCAAATGAGAACTAATTGTTTTCAAAGTTAGTAATTTAAAAGTCTATAAACTATAAAACAAACAACACTGGGACAGTTCTTCTGAATCCAGTGTGTAGCTTTAGAGCAATCACAATTAAAATGTTATATAAAATGGCATAAATTTCACTTAGAGAAATAGGTAGGTAAAAGGCAAAATTAGAAAAGACCTGTAATCCTTGAATCTTAGTTCAGAGCTAAGAGCCTTCTGAGGTCAGCTAGTCCAAGAGGGAACAGAGGTTGGAACATATTTAAAGACTCCATCAATTGGTTCCTGGACTGAGACAGGAACTCAGATCTCCTGACTTTTTGTCCAGTTGCTCTTTCCATTATTTTGCATTGAATCTTTATATCTAGAACATAATGAATATTCTATTTTTTTTAAAGATTTTATTTATTTATTTGAGAGAGAATGAGAGACAGAGAGCACGAGAGGGAAGAGGGCAGAGGGAGAAGCAGACCCCCCGCCGAGCAGGGAGCCTGATGCGGGACTCGATCCCGGGACTGCAGGATCATGACCTGAGCCGAAGGCAGTCACTTAACCAACTGAGCCACCCAGGCGCCCTAGAACATAATGAATATTCTAAAAAAGATAAACAGTGAGAGAGAAGTAACCTTACATAATATATTAATGTATTATAAGGCAGCAGTAAATAAAATGGTTCAGTACTGATCAGAATAAAAGAGAATCAAGGGCTCAGAACTAGTGTTTGGTATATATAAAAAAGAATGTAGGGGCGCCTGGGTGGCTCAGTTGGTTAAGCGACTGCCTTCGGCTCAGGTCATGATCCTGGAGTCCCGGGATCAAGTCCCACATCAGGC